GCCGCTCGCCGAGATGCTGGTGCCAGTGGCAACCCCCTCCGCCGACCCCACACACCGACCATCGGGCGAGGTAATGCTAACTCCTCACCCGGAGTTGGCGGTGCGGTACGGGGTTGTAGGATCCGCCACGCTGGTAAACGCAGATGGTGGCCGACTGTTTATACGGGTATTTAACCTTTGCCACAGGCCTTTAATGCACCTTTGTCACAGGCCTTTAACGAAAATAATGTGAAGTTGAACACTCAATTCCTAGGTTCATACTGCAGGGTAAGAATGGCCAGTCTTTGTGGACCTGTGGTTTGCGTAGATCTCTAACCAGGAGCGAGAGCCAATAAGCTCCCAAGCATTCGCTATGTTATCATAATTGCATTTATATGGTACTTGCTTAATCGCCTCGGCAATTTGGAGTTTTGTATCGTATCTCGTCTCAAACACTTGAAGAGCATCCCCAAGTAGCAGCCGCCCCTGTGTGGCACAAGGTGGTGGCCCTGCACCGGCCTGCATGTGGACAAGAGCCTGTCAGTAGGGGGCGATGATTGATGTGGCATCTTAGTTGTGGAGTTTGTAGGTAATGTTTAGAATTTGATCAATTTTGACCCAGACACCAGCATGCAATGGCCTACTCGTTTTGAATGGCGCAATAGTTTGTTGTACATACACTGTTAAGCAGACGGTGCGTATTTTTTAAATGTAACCTGGTGCAGTATATTTCAGTGCAGTAATTCAATTTTGTTAAAATTACTCAATATAGAATGAATACTTGTTTGATTGTGTGCGTATATGTAACATTTTGTCTATAAGGGTCAAACATTGAATAAGTGATGTTAGGACAAAGTTTGTATTTTGGAAGTAACCTGTACAGATAACAAGGCATACCACTCAAAAGTTACACGTATAGGAGGTACACTCTCTAAAACACGAATTATAATTTTGTATTACGTGATGACGTAGATTTTGTCTAACTAGGACTAGAAATGCTCCTTGCTGATTAACGTCTGGATGTTCGTAACCATCGGTTGAAGCAAGCCTGGCTGCTGTTGAGGCGCTGTGCACCAATAAGGGTCCACAGGTGGCTTGCACTAAATCAATGATGCACTCCCAGAAGGCTGTGCTAGTTATAGCTTGTGTAAAACATTCCTTTGATTTGTGAAGAGATCGATGAATGAAAGATGTCATGTCTGCTGATCTGCTTCATAGCAAGGAGGTAATTTTAAGAGCACATTCGAAATGCATTTTTGGTACAGATTTGTATTTGGTTACAAGGCAGAGCACATCTAGTAGATACATTCTCCACAACAACACTCATTGTAATTTTGCATGACGTCTTATATGTTGGCGAACTAGGACAAGAATTGGTCCTTGCCGATTAACGTCTGGATGTTGACAACCAAGGGTTGAAGCAAGCCGGACCGCCTGCGGAGCCCCTCACAACCATTTACGGCCTTGGGCCAGGAAATGCACACGAACGACACATTCACGCCAACTCCCGGTGCTCAGTTTTGAAGTTTTAAAATGAGACAACTTTGAATTGTATTTTGTTTTTAATTAGATAATATTATTTCTTCATTAAAACCTTATATCATTTTACATCTGGAAGACTTAATTGAAAACGACATTTCGTGTGAATTTTCTCTCGTCGTGAAGTAGATGGCCTTGCCGGGGATTCGGTTCGATGCGGACGTTCACCTGGTTGGGATCTCGGGATCGAGATGAGGCGACACAAAGCTGGCCGTGCGAGAAGACCGCCGTCTGCAGATCGATTCCAACGCTATCGAGCGTCTGTCCCTGCGCCTCCGTCGTTCATGCAGGGGGCTAGTAGGTTTACAGCGCCCCCTGCATGAAAACGACAAAGTGCAGCGTTCGTCACAGATAAAGTTGTGTGCCTTTATAAAAGAGTATATAGCCAGTGGGTTTTCAAAGTACGTGACAATGTCTGGATATTTTCGCCTGAGGACGACCGCTGGTCTTGCGATCGAAACGTGATTTTTTTTCTACCTACGTGACTTTACCGAAAGAACAAAAGAATATGAAAGACATCTTGTCTGCAGAACTTGTTCATAGCTGTGTACATCGATATCCCACATTGCTTACACGTACACACCACATCCAATGAAATAGAAACTAGAACGACTTCCGGGGATGGGCAAAGATCGAGGAATCTCCTTCAATGGAGCGAGTTAAGTGTGTTCAACATATCTCTGTTCGCCTCTGTGTCTCTCTCTGCCTGTCTCTGTCGTCTCTGTCTCTGTGTTCCTCTTGTCTGTGTCTGTCCGCCTGTCTTGTCTGTGTGTGTGTCTATCAGCGTCTGTCCCACCGTAGTCAACGACTGTCAGTAGCAGCACGCGCCCGTTCAGCTCCCACGACAACACGCCACTCAAACTTGCTCCCAACACAAAGACAAAGATCCCCCGTATAGCCTGCACAGAATGTCATGGCAAGTGCTGTTAGTGAGCACCTAACATAAAGACAAAGATGCCATGTATAGCCTTAACAGACTGTAGGGCAGGGGTCGGGAACCTTTTTGACTAAGAGAGCCATGAAAGCAAAAAATTTGGAAATTTATTTCAGTGAGAGCCATATAATATATTTTAAAAGTGAATTCAACTAAATGTCAGTATAATAAGCCTCTGAATTTATTCTTTTAAATAATGTTGTTATAACACTCACCATTAATGCGACTTCTGGTGCTGCATGGATTTGCTGATGTCTTTGTAGTCGGGTTGGTACTTGGTGAGGTTAAGCTTCATGCAAGCGTTGAGGCTTTCATCCGTTAAACGTGATCGTAGGTTGGACTTGATGTTTTTAAGATGTGAGAATGACTGCTCACATGCATACGTAGATCCAAACATGGTCAATACAGCAATACTCACACGCTGCAATGTGTGGTATGTGACAGGAAGCGCGTTCCAAGTTTTGAGAATCAGCTGGTCTTCGGGTTGGAGTTTTTTCATTTCTGTCCACATGTGCTTGCTCGCCAACTCCGCTTTCTGTCGTGTGATTCTTTCCAAATCTTCATTCAGTGACTTGAACTTATTCACCCACATGTCTGAGGCCTTCAGGTCAGCCACTTCTGCTTCAAAATCTCTGACGGAGACACCAGGGATGTAATTCAGGTCGGCTGTGTTCAGTGAACACTCGTTTGGATGGGTGATGCACTTAAAAAGACGAGTGTGCTCACGAAATTCTCCAAAGCGTGCTTTGAAGGACTGTAGGAGACTGGATGTGCAGCCAGCTAGCTGGTGGAGATCAAGGTTTTGAATGGGCTCACTTGCTGTGCATGCATCTTTAAATTGGCTCAGTTTTTCAAAATGTAGTAAATGACCTGTTTCAAGATCCGTGATGAAAAGCTCCAGCTTGTTTTCAAAAGCAAATACAGCTTGTTGAAGGGATAACACTGTATTTCCAATGCCTTGCATTTTCACGTTGAGCTGGTTCAGATGTTCAGTCAGATCTACGAGATAGTAAAACTTGAGGAGCCACTCGGTGTCGGCTAGCTCAGGATGCCCGACGCCTTTCATTTCAAGGAAAGTCCGGATTTCGTTCAGGCAAGCCGCAAAACGGCTAAGCACCTTCCCTCTTGACAACCAACGCACATTGCTGTGCAAAAGCAGACCAGGATAGTTATTTACAACTTCATCCAGCAGTGTTTTAAACTGGCGATCATTTAAGGCTCGGGCAACAATAAAGTTGATCACACGAATGACCAGCGACATCACTTCGCCAAACTGCCTGTCACACATCTGAGCACAAAGTGCCTCCTGGTGTATAATGCAATGGAAACTTAGGATGGGTCTATTTTCATGTTCACGGAGAAGCGCCACAAATGCTTTGTTTTTCCCCACCATACACGGAGCACCATCAGTACACACTGAGAGAAGTTTATCCATAGGCAGACTTTTTTCTTGAGCAAACTCCATGAAAGACTTGAATAAATCCTCACCTCTTGTGGACCCTTTTAATGGCAGAACAGCAAGACTTTCTTCGCGCAGTGTGTCACCAACAGCATATCTTGCAATCACGCTGAACTGCGACAAATGGCTCACGTCTGTTGACTCATCCAAAGCCAGAGAAAAGAACGGCGCTGCATTTATGTCCTTCACTTGCGTTTCCTCCACTTTGTTTGCCATCACGATGGTACGATCATGAACAGTTCTTGCCGACAGAGGCATGTCTTGTATCCGTTTGATTATCTTGTCTTTGTTCGGAAGATCATCAAAAAGTTCATTGGCTACATCCAGCATGAACGTTTTAGCATACTCGCCATCTGTGAATGGTTTTCCGTTCCTCACTATTGCTAAAGAACCAGCAAAGCTAGCCGAATTATAGTCACCTTGCCGGGTCCATACGCGGAGTTGCTGCTGGCTAGCTTGCACCCTGCTCAGCTCTTGGCACGCTTTCTTTCTGCTGTCTCCCGCAGGGTATTTTGATGCAAAGGTAGCGTGGCGCGTGTCGAAGTGCCGCTTTACATTCGACCGTTTCAACGATGTAATTTTGTCATTGCAAATTAGACACACCGCAGAACCCGCTCTCTCCACAAAGGCGAATTCTTCGGTCCATTCGTCCTGAAATGTACGATACTCGTCGTCTTTTTTTCTTTTCGCCATCTTCTTCGTCGAAGGGTTAGCTTTGAGCTAATGACCGAGCAGACGCAGTCTCAGACTGATTCAAAAGGGGGCGTTTACCTGTTTTACCCAGCAACGGCAAACGTAGGCCAGTATCATCCAATTAAAATAATGGACAATTGCTCCTGCAGCCCTGAACAGGACATGCGCAGTGAAAAATCGATGGATGGATTAAAACAAGTGAGAATATTTTGTTTTATCTGCGAGCCATATGCAATCATCAAAAGAGCCACATCTGGCTCGCGAGCCATAGGTTCCCGACCCCTGCTGTAGGGGCAAGTGGTGTTAGCGAGCACCTATTAAGGGTGCGACGGCACACGAGGGAGTGGGTGGCCAGCACCACGCCCGGCCGCCTTTGTCTCCCTAGTGGCGATGTTTACACACCGCACCGGGTACTCGTTTGAGGCCGAGTCGACGTAGGGGAGGCTCAGGACCGGTTCAGAAAATCGTCACTGGCGGTGTTGGCCACGAGCGGGAATGGAACTCGGCTGGTCGGGTGTTAACAAACTTAAACTCTGACCCCGCTCTCTGACGTCACCGCGCATCGTGACCTCATTGGCGTCATACTCCAGGGGGAGATGTGCTTGCTGGTGACGTCATGTCACCCACCCTGACCACCGCGCTCTTGAGCTTGACGTCACCTCCGCTCGGCCGCTGCCGATAACTGTTCCAGCGCCAATCCTTATTTGGGCAAAGCCACGCCCAGTGACTGGCGGCTCATTAATATAATGTTTGTGAGGGCCGGGCTCATTAGCATAATGTTTTTTTACGTTACGAGCCGCTCGTTGTGGGAGGGGAGTATCTTGTACCCCGCAAGTGACGTCATGTCACCTGCTGTTGCGTGACGTCTCCGAGGTAACAGGAAGTTGCCACTCCTTTGCACTCAAATCCGAGGTGAGAAATTCTCATCGCGGTTGTGGTGGTTGTTGTGGTGGTGGTGGTTGTGGTGGTTGTTGTTTACCGAGGTAGAGCCTCGCTCTCTCTCGTAGGGATGTCAACTGAGTAGCAGCGAGCATGGAAGCGATGTCCAGGTTGGAATTTTACAACGCGGGGCCTTGCCTCCTGCCCTCGCCTGATCGCGTTTGCTTCAATTCTCTTGCTTAATTTAGCAATCTGTGGAAGAACGTAATCAACCAGGCTATGCGTTAATTGTGTGTTGACCGACTCACTGTGTTGCATTGCATTACATTTACAAATTTTACTCAGTTTGTTTAAGTGTGCTTTCTCTTCTCGATTTAAAGCTTTCGTGACTGCAGGGAATCATCTTATTTTGGTTCTTTCGGTAAAGTCACGTAAAAATGAGAATAAAATAATAAAATTAAAATAAGACGATAAAATTCTCACGACGTTTCGACCACAACACAAGCGGCCTTCTTCGGGTGAAAGAACAGAACTGTGGGGTCGACAGTGCTTCAGTGAGCGCTGCTGAGATTCGTGGCGTCTTTTCAGCTCGGTGATAGGTGTGAATGACCTAGAAAACAGGAGCATTTGGCATTGGAATAGCTAGGGATTGGCTCGTGACAAAAAAATAGCAGTGTTAAAGTCAAAGTTTACATATCAACAGAGGCATTTAGTACATGGACGGTAAAGGGCCTCCAACTATCATACAGTAAACCAATGTGAGAAAAATCTAAGTCTATATTACATCAATATAATAATTGTACTTAATATATTCTTCAATAAGCTGAGCTATTAATCACCAAGCAACTGGGTATACACTACACTATATAATGAATACCATATAGTAAAACCAATGAAAACCAAAATATAAACTACCTCAATGTTCATATTCTTAGTATTTTCGGTAAAGTCACGTTGAAGAGAAACAACAAAATAATAAAATATATATAAAACAATAAAAAATTCTCACGACGTTTCGACCATAACTCAAACGGTCATCTTAAGGTGTGTTGGTTTGCATAAATTTATTTTTAAACGGCGCATTTATTTATTTATTTAAAAAACGTTAGCCTCACGCGCAGCGATTTGGCAGTTTGCCCAGGACTAGTCCATCTATATTTTGAAAAGAGGAGGGGGGAGACGAAATTTTTTATAATGTATGCTGTCTGAAAGCCACTGTAAGCGTGAACAATCAATTAAGAACTGAAATGGTTTATCAAATCTTTCCAATGATTGCTAAGATAGAATCCATCTTCTCGGTTGAAATTGTCTCTGTGCTTGTATATGTGGATAGCCTCATGAACGAATCTCTCATGGAAGCCAGATGGCTTACAAAGAACCTCTGTCTTGGAAAAGTCAATGGCATGTGAGCCTACTGAATTAAAACAATGATCTGCTACGGCTGAGGTGTTGGTCCTACCGTGTTTAAGGTCTGCTTTGTGTTCACGAATGCGGTCCGAGACATGGCGTTTGGTTTCTCCAATGTAACTACTACCACAGAGGCAACTTAGTTTGTAGACACCAGGGTATTGTATGTCCGGAATCACATCTTTTACAGACGGAACCAGATCACGGATTTTATGTAATGTGTTGAAACGGACCTGGATCTTGTGTTTATTCAAGATTTTGGAGATCTTTTTTGTGATCCCAGCAATGTAGGGTAAAGTGATGGTTTTGAAAGGCTCCTCAAGAGGGTTCTTCTTCATGGTTTGAGTGATAGCTTTGCGGATTGTATAGTCGGAGTAACCATTAGCCCTAAGAGCTTGGTGTACATGCCCAACCTTATGGAAGAGGTATGTGGATGACACTTTTGTCATCTGGCCACATGGCCGGCCTGCTCTAGACCAATTCTTCGACCACATCAATTCCATACACCCAGCCATCAGATTTACCATGGAAGTCGAAATAGATGGCAAGATACCTTTTTTGGATGTCCTAATTAAAAAGAGACCTGATGGCTCAATGAGCCACTCTGTCTACAGGAAAGCTACCCATACAGATGCTTATCTGAAACCGGATTCCCACCACCATCCATCACAGAAGAATTCTCTCATCAAGACTCTGTATTATAGAGTCCAATGCATATCCGACCAGGAACACATAAGCAGTGAACTCAAGCACGTACACCAAGCTCTTAGGGCTAATGGTTACTCCGACTATACAATCCGCAAAGCTATCACTCAAACCATGAAGAAGAACCCTCTTGAGGAGCCTTTCAAAACCATCACTTTACCCTACATTGCTGGGATCACAAAAAAGATCTCCAAAATCTTGAATAAACACAAGATCCAGGTCCGTTTCAACACATTACATAAAATCCGTGATCTGGTTCCGTCTGTAAAAGATGTGATTCCGGACATACAATACCCTGGTGTCTACAAACTAAGTTGCCTCTGTGGTAGTAGTTACATTGGAGAAACCAAACGCCATGTCTCGGACCGCATTCGTGAACACAAAGCAGACCTTAAACACGGTAGGCCAACACCTCGGCCGTGGCAGATCATTGTTCTAATTCAGTAGGCTCACATGCCATTGACTTTTCCAAGACAGAGGTTCTTTGTAAGCCATCTGGCTTCCATGAGAGATTCGTTCATGAGGCAATCCACATATACAAGCACAGAGACAATTTCAACCGAGAAGATGGATTCTATCTTAGCAATCATTGGAAAGATTTGATAAACCATTTCAGGTCTTAATTGATTGTTCACGCTTACAGTGGCTTTCAGACAGCATACATTATAAAAAATTTCGTCTCCCCCCTCCTCTTTTCAGAATATAGATGGACTAGTCCTGGGCAAACTGCCAAATCGTTGCGCGTGGCGCTAACGTTTTTTAAATAAGTAAATAAATGCGCCGTTTAAAAATAAATTTATGTGAACCAACACACCTGAAGACGACCGTTTGAGTTATGGTCGAAACGTCGTGATAATTTTTTTATTGTTTTATATATATTATTATTTTGTTCTTTCTCTTCAACGTGACTTTACCGAAAAAACTAAGAATATGAATTACTGCAGTCACGAAAGCTTTAAATCAAAATTTACCTCAATGTTATCAATAAACTCTATATCCTCTCCAACAGCTGAGCCACCAACAATAAGTCGTTATATATCACAATGCCATATTGCGAAAAATGGCGATTTTTCTTCCCATCAACGACCAGCACCACGGACAACGAACGGTTCGTTCGAACGGTTCGTTCGTTGTCCGTGGTGTTGGTCGTTGATGGGAAGAAAAATCGCCATTTTTCGCAATATGGCATTGTCATATATAACGACTTATAATAAGCCTACGTGTTAAAATGTACCACACCAGTTACTCGTTTGAGGCTGAGTCAACCTAGGGGAGGCCCAGGACCGGTTCAAATGATCGTCACCGGTGGTGGCCGTGAGCGGGAATCGAACTCGGGTCGCCGGGTTCATAGCGCAGCGTAGCGCTAACCACGCGTTATGCTTCCACATGCGCGGGTCACATGACCCGCATCACAGCTCACTTTCCGTGCAAAAAATAGATGCATTATTGAGCTCCCCCCCTCCCCCTCCCAAAAAAAAGTATTTTTATAATTTTTGCATGGGGTCCAGTCTGGAAAGTGCCCACATGGCAAATTTCAAGTTTGTTGCATGTCGGGAAGTACGCTAAATATTTAAAACTGACACATATTCACAAATGTCCCTTTCATGTATATATATGGAGATGATGATTGCTTGTGTAGGGGTGTTGCGGGAAGGGAACACAGTCACATCGTGGTGGCTACAACCACGTCCGCTATAGCCCCGCCTCTGAGTGGTGTATTGGTATAAAGGGCAGGGAGCCAGAGAGCTCGGGCAGAGTGTTGGGGTAAGCCAAGGGTGAAGAACCAGTGAAGAAGGGAGACCTAGGATAGACCCTGGAAGTCCCCTGACCGCTGCCCTTTTCAGGAGCGGCAGGGCAAGCCAGTGGTGTGGCCCCAGAGCCTCAGAGGCGGAGCCCTTTTAAGGGTCGGTCTGTCTGGTGGGGTGCCGTGACCTGTGCCATGACCAGGGCCAGATCAGACAGCCTCCTCTAGCCCCTGTAGCGGAGGAACTGGGAACATAGTGGTTAGGCTGTTTGCCTAGAGGGTGTCCCAGTGTGTATACGGGTGAAGGGGCCGTTACCCCTTCTCAGTGTAACTTGCCAAGCTTGAATAAATAGTGCTGCCTCTACTCCACCGTCTCCGTGTCCCGTGAACCCACTTGTGTTGCAATCGAAACGTATGCAAATATTTAATTATTATTTTCTTTCTACATGACGATACCGAAATAACCAAAGAGTATCTTAAGTTGTAATTTCTCTTCACCTGGCTCGCTACTTTGTAACTTTGTTTTATTTTAAATATTCACACTGTTTTTTTTTCATTTTTTACCAGGCCACGCCCGCGTTGAGCTGCCGAAGCGACCTGCCCACAACAACAACAAGGTGGGGCTTGTCAACAGCGTGGTGGTGTTCACTCTAGACGTGTGGTGGTATTCATTCTAGACGCGTGGCGGTGTTCACTCTAGACGCGTGGCGGTGTTCACTCTAGACGTGTGGTGGTGTTCACTCTAGATGTGTGGCGGTGTTCACTAGACACGTGGCAGTGTTCACTCTAGATGCGTGGTGGTGTTCATTCTAGATGCGTGGTGGTGTTCACTCTAGATGCGTGGCGGTGTTCACTCTAGACGCGTGGCGGTGTTCATTCTAGATGCGTGGCGGTGTTCACTCTAGATGCGTGGCGGTGTTCACTCTAGACGCGTGGCGGTGTTCACTCTAGACGCGTGGCGGTGTTCATTCTTTACATATGGAGCGGAAACCAGGGGATCGGGAAGGAAATCCACTCGACCACGGGTAGAGAGAGAGAGACACGCAGCCTCGGCTTTGTTGATTGATCCTCAATGATTACTAGGTGGAGTGAGGAAGCATTAATACTGAGCAGGTGAAGTTGGCCAGGCGTGGGTCTGGACACACCACCACCTGTGAACCATGCTGTGTGTGACAGTGGTGGAGCCAGTGGGAGTGGGGTGGCACATGCCCCCCCAATGATCCGATCGAAATCCCTAATTTTGATCGGATCATTGGGGTTTATTAGTAACTAGCTTCAGTACCCGCCTTCGCCCGGGTCTTGGATTCTTGTCTTGGATTAATTTAATATTCCCTCATTTCACTGAAAACCCCGGAAAAAAATCGATGCTTGCAAGATAGAAAAAAACAGAAACAAATCAATTTGACTAAATCGGATGTTTTTCACTGAAGGAAATTTAACCATAACCCACTTCTACGTAAGGTCGATTCTGGCAACTCGGGAAAGGAATGACGGTGCAAGCTGAAAATAGTCGCATTCACTTAGAAATTCCAGACAGCATAAGCTGTGCAAATTTATAACATTTTTGACATTCTTTTTTCTGGATTTTTTTATTGTTATTCTGTCTCTCACTGTTCAAATAAACCTACCATTAAAATTATAGACTGATCATTTCTTTGTCAGTGGGCAAACATACAAAATCAGCAGGGGATCAAATACTTTTTTCCCTCACTACATCACACCTGCATAACTTCATACGATTCATTGTACGATCCCGATTGATGATACGACCCTCGTCAGTGAGGCGGGACCTAATTATCATAACGGCTCGCATTAGCATAATCACATACGTTCCCATAATTCATCACGATTATCTCTCGAATTAGCATAATGTATGCGCATAAATACATCAATTGACATAATTTCTGACAATTACGCATTTTTCCAAATTTAATTTCATTTTTATTATTTTAATCAAATTTTCAATACCCTGATATACAACGGCACACTGCGTAACGCTGCCGCATGCGGGTGACATGATGTCACCGCTCACTTGCATTGTTGCGCCTCCCTCCCCCCAAATACAAAAGTCTATTTTGATCATTTTTGCATTGTGTACAGTCTGGAAACTACCCACATGCCAAATTTCAAGTTTGTTGCATGTCGGGAAGTATACTAAACATTTCGAACAGACACATAATCACAACTTTGCCTTTTATACATATAGATAAATCAGCATTTTGCGACTTCCACTTCCACCTTGTGGCATATTATTACGTGCCAGGGACTCTATGAGAGGGCAACAGTCCGAGTCCACAATTGGCAATCAGTAACGTCAAAGCAGTTACAAGCGACTCGCAGAACTGTGCGCAGTTGCGTATACAGCACACGACTTCCCTGAAGGCAAACACCTTCAGCGAGCGCGATGCCGATCACACGCGTTGAATAAAAAGCAAGGGACAAGTCCTTGTTAGTAAGGAGTTACTAACTCCTTACTAACAACTCCTATCATTTTTCATTGCTGGAGGGGTTACCCCCCTCTACCTGAAAATCCTGACTCCACCTCTGAGTGTGTGACAGTGTCAAGTTTGTATTTGCAGTAAAGTCATTGAACTCTATTGAGCAAGGAGGTTCTATCGAAACAGTAGTTTATTTTTGTTTTCCTCTGGAACTCTTTGTAAGAATGGAGTCAGGAAGTTATCACAGCACACGTGCAGCTGAAGGCAGAACTGTTCATCCCAGCATTCTAGGACATCTGTGCCTGGCTTTACACCTCTAAGTTACGAGTGAACATTAATTCATGCATTTCTGCATAATACAAATAGTACTATTTTCAACACCGTTTGCTATGTCAGCTGAATTTAGCTTTCATAAATATTCCTTTTGATGCCAGACAGCCGAAATTGTGTGCTAGGAGTTTTGGGTTAACATTCATTTTGAAGACACTAGGGCTTCCAGGCATGTTTATAACCATTTGCCCTCTCATTGTGTGCCATAACAGCCCGTGTGATGAATTTGGGACACTTTTTCACTATATCATGAATATATTAATAAGTATAGACATGTTAGTCATGTGTTACTGTGTATTTATGCATTCCTCTGTGCATCGATACTGACGTGTAGATGGTGTGGATATTCTTTTTTCTGTCTGCAGCTGTCACTTCCTCTGTCGCTTCCTCTGCACAATTTGTCTGATGGAGCAAAGGCACTTGGCGCAGCTCAGTACCACAAGGCAACAATGCGACCGGTGTGCATACTGCATGGATCGTCCTGCACATTTGACACGGCACAAGAGAACTCACACAGGAGAGAAACCCTTCAAGTGCAATGTGTGTGGGAAGGTGTTTGCACATTCATCTGCTGTTGTAATACACCAGAGAACACACACGGGAGAGAAACCCTTCAGGTGCAGTGTGTGTGGGAAGGCGTTTGCACGGTCATCAAATCTTCAAACACACCAGAGAACACACACGGGAGAGAAACCCTTCAGGTGCTCTCCGTGCGGGAAGGCGTTTGCACGTTCATCTACTCTTGTAGCACACCAGAGAACACACACGGGAGAGAAACCCTTCAAGTGCAGTGTGTGTGGGAAGGTGTTTGTACATTCATCTTCTCTTGTAGCACACCAGAGAACACACACAGGAGAGAACGCCTTCAAGTGCAGTGTGTGTGGGAAGGCGTTTGCACAGTCATCTATTCTTGTAGAACACCAGAGAACACACACGGGAGAGAAACCTTTCAGGTGCAGTGTGTGTGGGAAGGCGTTTGCACAGTCATCAAATCTTCAAACACACCAGAGAACACACACGGGAGAGAAACCCTTCAGGTGCTCTCCGTGCGGGAAGGCGTTTGCACGTTCATCTGCTCTTGTAGCACACCAGAGAACACACACGATAGAGAAAACCTTCAAGTGCAGTGTGTGTGGGAAGGCGTTTGCACAGTCATCAAATCTTCAAACACACCAGAGAACACACACGGGAGAGAAACCCTTCAGGTGCTCTCCGTGCGGGAAGGCGTTTGCACAGTCACTACATCTTCAAAGACACCAGAGAACACGCAAGCATCAGAAGATCCACCAGGAGTGGAGTCTGATATCAGCTTGTGAAAGTCAAAGTGCCGCAATGAGCCCATCCCTCATAAAACAAGAACTGGAAGAAAATCCCAGCTTGGACACTTTTAAAGATATCGAGGTGAAACATAAAGAGGTGAAATGTGAAGAAGTGATGGTGAAGAGCGAAGAAGTGAGGGTAAAATATGAAGATGAAGATTCAACTCCAAAATGGGACCTTCACATCGATGGAGGCAACGTGAAGCAAGAGGAGAATTCTGACTATGAGGCAGAGCGAGGCAACTCCCAGCAGTTTGTGGAAGTGGAGGTGTGGGTGGACTTCCTCCGAGACAATACAAAGTCAAATGGAGACTCGGTAGATGTGTAAGCCTGAGACGATGTCACTCCAATAGATGCACCTTTGTCACAGGCCTTTAATGAAAAGAACGTGAAGTTGAGCACTCAATTCCTAGGTGCAACCTGCTGGGTAGAGCAGCCAGTCTTTGTGGACCTGTGGTTTGCATAGATCTCTAACAAGGAGCGACAGGAACTCGGAGTTTTGTATCGTATCTCGTCTCAAACACGTGAAGAGCATCCCCAAGTAGCAGCTGCCCCTGTGTGGCACAAGGTGGTGGCCCTGCACCGGCCTGCATGTGGACAAGAGCCTGTCAGTAGGGGGCGATGTTTGATGTGGCGTCTTAGTTGTGGAGTTTGTAGGTAATGTTTAGAATTTGATCAATTTTGACCCAGACGCCATCATGCAATGGCCTACTCATTTTGAATGGCGCAATAGTATGTTGTACATAAACTCTTAAGCAGAAGGTGCGTATTTTTTAAATAGCTTCTTGTTAATGCAGTATATTTCAGTGCAGTAATTAAATTTAGTTAAAATTACTCAATTTAGAATTAATAATTGTGTGTGTACATGTAACATTTTGTCTGTAAGGGTCAAACATTGAATAAGTGATGTTAGGACAAAGTTTGTGTTTTGGAAGTAACCTGTACAGATAACGCATACCACTCAAAGTTACACGTATAGGAGGTACTCTCTACAATACGAATTATAATTTTGCATTTCGTGCTGACGTAGATTTTGTCTAGCACTAGAAATGCTGCTTGCTGATTAACGTCTGGATGTTGACAACCATCGGTTGACCGCCTGCGGCGCCCCTCACAACCATTTACGACCTTCGGCCAGGAAAGTCACCAAAAAAATTGCACACGAACGACGCATCCACGCAAGCTCCCGGTGCTCAGTTTTGAAGTTTTAAAATGAAAAACTTAGAATTGTATTAATTTTAGAATTAATTAAAAGCTTGCATAATTTTACATCTGGAAGGCTTAATTGAAAACGACATTTCGTGTGAATTTTCTCTCGTCGTGAAGAAGATGGCCTTGCCGGGGATTCGGTTCGATGCGGACTTTCACCTGGTTGGGATCGCGGGATCGAGATGAGGCGACACAGAGCTGGCCGTGCCAGAAGACCGCCGTCTGCAGATCGATTCCAACGTGATCGAACGTCTGCCCCTGCGCCTCCGTCGTTCATGCAGGGGGCTAGTAGGTTTACAGCGCCCCCTGCATGGAAACGACAAAGTGCAGCGTTCATCACAGATGAAGTTGTGCGCTTATATAAAGGAGTATAGCCAGTGGGTTTTCAAAGTACCTTCGTCTTACAGAAATCAATTTCGCGTGATCCCACCGCATTAAAACGATGCTCAGCTGAGCGGGGCGAGCCACGGTGGGGGGGAGGGGGGGTCACCTTATCTTTGTCACGTGACGTAGCTCACGTGACTTCTGCCGCGACAATGTCTGGATTTTTCGCCTGAGGACGACCGCTGGTGTTGCGATCGAAATGTGGAGATTTATTTCATTACTTTTTTATTTTTCTACCCACGTGACTTTACCGAAAGACGTCTTGTCTGCTGAACTTGTTCATAGCTGTGTACATCGATATCCCACATTGCTTACACGTGTAGAGTAGGAGTTAGTGACGTCATGTGACGCTCGCCCTCTGGCATGATGACGTCATGGACAGGGGGCAGGACAGTGACGTCATGTCCCCCTGGAGGATTTAAGCTGGAACCTGTCACGGGTTTCAGGGTCGTTGCGGGGAGCCAGGAACGGGTGAAGTTGGAAGTTGGGACCATGCTCAGGGAGCCTGGGGCGTGCTAGGGACATCCCCAGTACCCTTACCCAGGGGTGTGGAGCGTAGGCAGTCAGGGGGCAGTACACGGAGTCGCGTCCCAAGAGAAGTCTTTAATAAAACAGCTGGCGCAAGCCCCTACGTGAAGATCTGCCTCCGAGTCGTCATTTACGCCTCAACACACGTACACACCACACACAATGAAATAGAAACTGGAACGACTTCCGGGGATGGGCAAAGATCGAGGAATCTTTCAATGGAGCGAGTTAAGTGTGTTCAACATCTCTCTGTCAGTCTGTGTCTCTGTTCGCCTCTGTGTCTCTCTCTGCCTGTATCTCTGTCTTTGTCGTCTCTGTCTCTGTGTTCCTCTTGTCTGTGTCTGTCCGCCTGTCTTGTCTGTGTGTGTCTATCAGCGTCTGTCCCACCGTAGTCAACGACTGTCAGTAGCAGCACGCGCCCGTTCAGCTCCCACGGCTACACGCCACTCAAACTTGCTCCCAACACAAAGATCCCCCGTATAGCCTGCACAGAATGTCATGGCAAGTGCTGTTAGTGAGCACCTAACATAAAGACAAAGATGCCCTGTATAGCCTTAACAGACTGTAAGGCAAGTGGTGTTAGCGAGCACCTATTAAGGGTGGGACGGCACACGAGGGGGTGGGTGGCCAGCACCACGCCCGGCCGCCTTTGTCTCCCTAGTGGCGATGTTTACACATCGCACCGGGTACTCGTTTGAGGCCGAGTCGACGTAGGGGAGGCTCAGGACCGGTTCAGAAAATCGTCACTGGCGGTGTTGGCCACGAGCGGGAATGGAACTCGGCTGGTCGGGTGCGGAGCGCAGCGCTCACCACGTCACTGCCGCTCCCCTTCTGTCAACAAACTTGAACTGTGACCCCGCTCTCCGACGTCACCGCTCAGCGTGACCTCAACGGCGTCGAACGTCTCGGGGGAGGTGTGCCTCGCTAGTGACGTCATGTCACCCATAACCGACCGCCGCGCTCTTGAGCGTGACGTCACCGCCGCTCGGCCGCTGCCGATAACTGTTCCAGTGCCAATCCTTATTTGGGCAAAGCCACGCCCGGTGACTGGCGGCTCATTAACATAATGTATTCGTGAAAGCCGTCGCGAGTTTATTACGGTGGGTTCGGCACCCACGCCCCACCCCTCCACGTCTGGGCCGGGCTCATTAGCATAATTTATTTACGTTAACAGCCGCTCGTTGTGGGAGGGGAGGGTCTTGTACTCTGCAAAATGACGTCATGTCACCTGCTGCTTCGTGACGTCGCGAGGTAACAGGAAGTATCCGCTCCGCGCCTGCACTGAAATCCGAGGTGAGAAATTCTCATCGCGGTTGTTGTGGTGGTGGTTGTGGTGGTGGTGGTTGTGGTGGTGGTGGTTGTGGTGGTGGTTGTTGTGGTGGTTGTTGTGGTGGTTGTTGTGGTGGTTGTTGTGGTGGTGGTTGTGGTGGTGGTGGTTGTGGTGGTGGTGGTGGTTGTTGTGGTGGTTGTGGTGGTTGTGGTGGTGGTTGTTGTGGTGGTGGTTGTGGTGGTGGTTGTTGTGGTGGTGGTGGTTGTGGTGGTGGTGGTGGTTGTGGTGGTGGTTGTTGTTGTTTACCGAGGTAGAGCCTCGCTCTCTCTCGTAGGGATGTCAACTGAGTAGCAGCGAGCATGGAAGCGATGTCCAGGTTGGAATTTTACAACGCGGGGCCTTGCCTCCTGCCCTCGCCTGATCGCGTTTGCTTCAATTCTCTTGCTTAATTTAGCAATCTGTGGAAGAACGTAATCAACCAGGCTATGCGTTAATTGTGTGTTGACCGACTCTCTGTGTTGCATTGCATTACATTTCTAAATTTTACTCAGTTTGTTTGATTGTGTGCTTTCTCTCTCTCTCTGTGTGCCCTCGTGTTGTCGCGCTTTTATTTCCTGCAGTCACCAAACCTCCAAATCTTTCATTGACACAAGGCCGTAGTCATAATATATTATAATCATTATAATAATTATTATAATAATTATTATAATTATTATAATATTTATAATACAATCATAATATATTATAATCATTATAGTATATTATAATATGTAATAATATATTATAATATATCATGATAATTATATATTATAATTATTAGATATGATAATAATTATAATATATATTGGGGGACATCACCTCCCCAATGTTGACTCCATGGCTACGGCCTAGCATTGACATGTTAATTTCTCTACCCCCCCCCCTCTCTCTCTGCCCCTTCTCTATTTAAGGCCTCGACACAGCGGCGTTGTTTCTCTGTGTCTCTGTGTCATCTCTCTCTGTGTCTATGTGTGTGTCTCTCTGTGAGTCTCTTGTGTCATCTCTCTCTGTGTGTCTATGTGTCATCTCTCTCTGTGTGTCTATGTTTTGTGTCTCTGTGTGTCTGTGTGTGTCTTCAGGAAAGGGCGGTCCTGCACAGATGCCATATTTTCTGTCCGTCTGCTACAGCAGAGGTGTAGGGAATTCCAACAAGACCTACATCTCTGCTTTATTGACCTGGTCAAGGCCTATGATACCATCAATAGGCCTGGGCTCTGGGTCGTTCTTCGTGCTTTTGGAGTACCTGACCCTCTGCTCACGATCATTAAGGACCTTCATGATGGTGAGCGGGCCCGGGTAAAACTACGTGGCCGGGAGTCAGAGCCATTCCCTGTACACCTTGGGGTGCGACAGGGATGTCCTCTGGCTCCCACATTATTTAACATCTATTTTGACCACGTAGTTCGTGAAGCCTTCAATAGCTGTACCGGGGGAATCTCCATATGGTACAGATATAATGGGAGGCTGATCGATGCCCGGGTGCGGTCAAGGGATGGCTCCCTATTGCTCAACCACGTTATGTATGCTGATGATTTGGTAATAGCTGCTCAGTCAGAGGAGGAGTTGGAGACGCTGCTGCTGAGACTGGAGCATGCCACTAAGAGGTGGGGCCTTACCATCAGCCCCACCAAAACTAAGCACCTGCCTGGGTATTTTGTACCATCGGACACTCCACCCCCACAACTCACAATCGGTGATGGGGCAGTTGTGGAGAGAGTGGAGAGTTTCCCATACCTGGGCAGTGTGCTTATGACTGGCTCCAGTTTAACAGCAGAGGTCTCACTCCGAAACAGTCGAGCGGCAATATCTTTTCATCGGTTGCGTAACGCTGTGTGGAAGCTACCTGGTCTGTCGCTCCGCACTAAGCTTCAGGTCTTCTCGGCCACGGTCATTCTCTCCCTTCTCTACGCTTGCGAAACGTGGACCCCCCTAATGGAACATCTTCGCCGGTTAGAAACATTTAGGCTGGCCTGCCTACGATCCATCCTGGGTTAAACCAGACTGGATTGTGTGAGGAGCTCACAAATCCTTGAAAGATCTGGGCAAGGTCCCATCGGTGAGCTCCTCCGGCAGGCAAGGCTGCGATGGCTGGGTCATGTAGCCCGCATGCCCAGCCACCACATGCCGAAACAGCTTTTGTTCGGCCGGATTGAGGGGGCTAAGCGGGCGCGGCACGGGCTAGAGAAGAGATGGAGTGATGTGGTACAGGCGGACGTGGAGCTGAGTGGACTTGCCGAGGAGGCTCGTGAAGGAGGCTCGTGAAGGATGCTACTGGGCAGTTGGAGGTAGTCGCCCTCCAACAACAACGGAGGGCGGAGGAGCGACGCTCAGAACAACGAGCGGAGCGCCGGGTGGCTAAAGCACAGCAGGTTGGCACAGAAGGGGGCACAGGTGGTGCATCAGCCAGTAATCTCAGTCAGTCAACCCGTGGCACCTGGGTCTGCCCCGTGACCTCCTGCCAGCGGGCGTTCGACACTTCACGTGGCCTCAGGGTGCACATAGCCTGGCACAAGCGTCGTGGTGATGTCACCGCCACTTAGTGGCGAATGGCGGTTGTTGTTGTTGTGTGTGTCTCTCTGTGTGTCTGTGTGTGTCTCTCTTTGTCTCTCTCTGTGTCTGTGTGTGTCTCTCTCTGTGTGTCTATGTGTGTCTCTGTGTGTCTGTGTCATCTCTCTCTCTGCTTATGTGTCTGTCTGTGTATCTCCGTGTCTGTGTTCTGTCTCAAATTTAGCAATCTGTGGAAGAACGTAATCAACCAGGTGTGGTGTTGACTGTTATGTTAGCCGACTCTCTGTGTTGTATTGCATTGTATTTCTAAGTGTACTAGGTTTGTTCCCTCTTTCACTTGTACCTGACTAGCTTTACTACCCGGCTTTGCCCGGGACTTGGATTTTTGTCTTGGATTAAAACACGGCCTACGCGGAGTGTTTGGGTGGGGATGCGTGACGTCAGCAGGCACACTGCGTAATGCTGCCGCATGATGTCACCGCTCACTTGCGTGCAAAATATATGCATTATTGCGCCCCCCCCCCCAAATACAAAAGTCTACTTTTATACTTTTTGCATTGTGTAGTCTGGAAACTATCCACATGCCAAATTTCAAGTTTGTTGCATGTCGGGAAGCATGCTAAACATTTCGAACTGCCACCGTGTGGCATATTATTACGTACCAGGGACTCTATGAGAGGACAACAGTCCGAGTCCATAATTGGCAATAAGTAACGGCAAAGCAGTTACAAGCGACTCACAGAACTGTGCGCAGTTGCGTATACAGCACACGACTTCCCTGAAGGCAAACACCTTCAGCGACCGTGATGCCGATTACACACGTCGAATAAAAAGCAAGGGACAAGTCCTTACTTACTAACAACTCCTTACTTACTAACAACTCCTATCATTTTTCATTGCTGGAGGGGTTGCCCCCCTCTACCTGAAAATCCTGGCTCCACCTCTGAGTGTGTGACAGTTTCAAGTTTGTATTTGCAGTAAAGTCTATTAACTCTATTGAGCATGGAAGTGAGCTCAAAACAGTAGTTTATTTTTGTTTTCCTCTGGAACTCTTTGTAAATAACAAAAAGTCTATTTTGATTATTTTTGCATTGTGTACAGTTTGGAAACTACCCACATACCAAATTTCAAGTTTGTTGCATTTCGAACAGACACATTCACAAATTTCCCTTTTATATTATAGACTAGCTTTACTACCCGGCTTCGCCTGGGACTTGGATTCACCACTCTAGACGCGTGGCGGTGTTCACTCTAGACGCGTGGCGGTGTTCACTCTAGACGCGTGGCGGTGTTCACTCTAGACGCGTGGCGGTGTTCAGTCTAGACGTGTGGCGGTGTTCACTCTAGACGCGTGGCGGTGTTCACTCTAGATGCGTGGCGGTGTTCACTCTCTACATGTGGAGCGGAAACCAGGGGATCGGGAAAGAAATCCACTCGACCACCGGTGGAGAGAGAGAGAGAGACAGGCAGCCTCGGCTGTGTTGATTGATCCTCAATGAATTACTTGGTGGAGTGAGGAAGCATTAATACTGAGCAGGTGAAGGTGGCCAGGCGTTGGTCTGGACACACCACCACCTGTGAACCATGCAGTGTGACAGTGGCGGAGCCAGTGGGGGTGGGGTGGCATGTGCCCCCCCAACGATCCGATCGAAATCCATAATTTCGATCAGATCATTGGGGTTTATTAGTAACTAGCTTCACTACCCGCCTTCGCCCGGGACTTGGATTATTGTCTTGGATTAATTTCATATTCCTTTATATTTCACTGAAAAACCCTGACAAAATGTATGCTTGCAAGATAGAAAAAAGCCGAAACAAATCAATTTGACTAAATCGGATGTTTTCACTGAAGGAAATTCAACCTTAACCCACTTCTACGTAAGGTCCATTTTGGCCACTCGGGAAGGGAATGACGTGGCGAGCTGAACATAGCGCATTCACTTCGAAATTCCAGACAGCATAAGCTGTGAAAATGTCATCACACCAGAGCTCAGCGTTGGAGAGTTTTTGCTGCTTCACACAAAAAACAGATGTAATTTTTGTTGTTCGCACGGATATGTATTGAAACTCCGAGAAGCCCGGCACGCTGTTAACAGCTCTAGAAGTACGGCACGCGAAGAGCCATATGGTAGGGGTAAGCATTGCAGAGCGCTTAACTCAGGTGTGTTGCGGGTTGACGCCACACACGTCATGGTGATTTCTCCCCCCCCCCCCCCCAAAAATGCAAAAGTCTTATTTTATACTTATTACATTGTGTACAGTATGGAACCTACCCACGTGCCAAATTTCAAGTGTGTTGCATGTTGGGAGGTATGCTAAACATTTCGAACAGACACACATACATCCACAAATTTCCCTTTTATATATAGACTAGCTTTACTACCCGGCTTTGCCCGGGACTTGGATTCACCACGCCCGGACTGTTATGTTAGCCGACTCTCTGTGTTGTATTGCATTGTATTTCTAAGTTTACTAG